CACAATTTAGATCATATTGGGGGCTGGCTGCTTCGATCCTAATCTGCCAGGGCCAGACAGTACCGAGCGGGATAAAACAACCAATCAGATAGACTGAGACATTTGATGAAAAAAGGGAAAACTCTGATTTAAAAAAAACCCTGCTGCCTAGCAGGCAAAACCCAGGAAAGTTATAGGATATGGGAGCACTCCTAGACAGAAAAGCACGCAGAAGACGGACGGAGAGGTGGACCAAAAGGTGGCAATAGTCGGGCTAGCCCAAACCGCCTCACGCAAGTCTCATTATAAATTCCAGAACAATGAAGAAGAAGAAGAAGAAGAAGAAGAAGAAGAAGAAGAAGAAGAAGAAGAAGATGAAAAAGACGTTCCTACTAGGGAATCGAAATGACGCCTTGAGTGTATGGTGACAAAGAACTTAACCGCTACACCAAAAGACATCGGGACGTGAATTGGTCGCTTTTAAGTACTGTCCCCTTGGTTTTACGCACCCCGCAGTATTTAACAAAATCTGATCATTTTTTGCATAATTTCTGATTATTTTCCATTGTCATTCTTGGTTGAAATGAACAGAATCGTTTAATTTCACATTTTGAACTCAGTTTGCATAATTTCAGAATTTTTCTTGCTTAAAACAGCGGGGACAGTAAGAAGGACAAGAGAGCTAACCCAGATTTCGGGCGTTTCCAGAAATCTTGACCTACACCAAAAGTGGGTACGTATTGCCCTACCTATAGGAGAAGTTTGGCTTCATTGGTGTGTATATTAATTGTTTGGTTATACATAAAACTCCCCTTGTTTTTTTAAAAAAGAAACTGAACAAGGGGCATAAACTTTTCCTTTGATTTTCGCAAGACAGCATTTTTCGGGATAGCTCCTTGTGCTTAAAAGCGACCAATTGTTTACCAACGTATTCCAAAATCATTTGATACAAAAGCTCACACGACGTAAGTAAGGGTCTGGGTTCTTTTGTAATACTTGTATGAGGGTATGATATTTGATGATTTTTACGAAATTATTAAGATTTGAGACTGAATCATGTTTCAACCCTTCCCTTACTCCAAAGCACATACACACACACACACAAACACACACACATACACTCTCTCTCTCTCGCTCTCTCTCTCTCTCTCTCTCTCTCACACACACACACAC